AATATATTAAATAAACATTATATACATGAAAACTAGAGGAAATGGGTGTGTTTCGGAGAAGAGTGAGGGGAGTCGGAGAAGAATGGGGCAGTCGGAGAAGAGTGGGGGGGAGTCGGAGAAGAATGGGGTAGTCGGAGAAAGGGGGGGAGAGTGAAAGAAAAATGGAAAGGAAAACGAGATGAACTACGGTCGAGAAAATGAAAACGGAAAAAAATTGTTTTCAGAAACATGAGAATAAAGAGAAAATGAAAAGGGTGTTCTCAGTTTTGGTTTTGGGAAAATGGGTCACTAAACGACAATCTTCACAGCGTTTTCATTTTTGCTTCTCGGAAAACGTGAAAAACGTTTTCAAAAATGAAAACAAACACGCCCGTAATCTTTTACTTTTCAATCATTAAATCTGTATCAAAGTCCATTTGTTCTGTATTATTTTTCAATTTAATGTGATTTTAATCAGATTTAATAGTTAAAAATTGAGCCTACCGATAGACTGACTTACTAAAGAAGGTCCCTCAAAATAATGTAAAAAATAAAATTTTACTTTTATCACCCACCAAACTTGAACAAGTTTTTTTATTGTTACAAAAAAAAAAAAAAACAAAAAAAAAAGAGACAAATGCTTTTAAAAACAATTGACAAGCTCGTAATTATATATTAAAAGGGACTTTCTAGATTTTTCTGAAGTAGTGTCGGTTTCTAATTATTAAATATGTTAAAATCATATCAAAGTAAGAGAAAATATGCATAACATATAATTTTTTTATAGAAATTGACGACTGAAAAGTAAAAACTACTAGTAATTTATTTTTTCCGGTCCTATAAAAAAAACTCCAAATGCTAAAATTCATTCCCCTTTTAATAGTTCATCTAAGATTTCACCTACTATGTTATGCAATTAACATGTCAATTGGAAGAGAGAATTTTTCATTTTCAAAAATATTCTTAATTTTCTTAATTTCCCCTTTCATTTTCATCCAAGAATTTTTCATTTTCTTATCAAGAGATCTTCTTTAGTAGACCGACTTACTAATAGTCTTAATTTTTAATCATTACATATGATTAAAATCACATCATATTAAAAAAATATAAAATAAATAAATTTTAATATAGATCTAATGACTAAAAAATAAAAAACTTGCAGTAGACTACAGAGAAACTCCTTATCAAATAGGAAAGCTGACTACGAAATCCACATGGATCAATGTCGTTACACAGATTATTGAAGGAGAGATTCTTATCAACATTTTTGTGCACGAATAATATAATAAGATTTTTTTTGTTTGAGGATAACAATATAATAAAATTTTGTCAAACGAGAAAGTGAGAGAAAAAATGAAATTCCAACAGAAAAACGATGAATGGGCCTTTTTTCTTTTTCTTTCTTAAAAAAAAAAAAAAAAAAAGCCTCCGCTCCCTACAAAATCACTCCTCAAAAGATTTCCGCGAAACAGAATTTTGGTAACGTGTAGCGACAAAAATAAATTGTTTCTTTTCTAACCAGCTCAAAGAAGCTTTTAACCTCAAAAGAAAACAAAAACAAAGCCAAATTAGCCAGAATTTTAGTATTTGCCCAAATTTGAGGGTTCAAATAAAACAGTTTCTTTGCCCAACCACATTAACTCAATCCTCAGAGAAAGCAAAGCCCACATAAAAGTTAAATAAAGATGTGGAACTCTAAAGGGAGAAGAGCAAGTACTACATGAATATCCCAGTTCTCAACAAAGTCCAATAAGATGTTCCACCTCTCACTCTTCCATTGCATCTCCTCGTTCAATCACTTGCACTTTCTCCTTTAACGGAGTAATTTTTGTTAAGAGAACCTCTGCAACCCCAAAAAAGGTAAAAACATTTTAGTCAATCTTGCATTACTTCGCGCCTAGTAAACATGATGTCGCTTATCTAGAAGGGGAGAAAGTGCAAGTCTGAAATATGTGCTATGAATAAGACGATAGAATTGCGAAACATGCAAAATACATATGCTACTAACCAGTCTTCTTAGAGAGTGAATAGTCTTTTGGACTGACATAAGTACGAGGATTTGGCAACAGATGGTTCCTCAGATACTCCTTATGGCCCTGAGACAACAAGCGACGAATGGAAGTTTGCATTAGCATCACAAAAAGACTTTGTTGACAATGATAAGAAACCGGTGGAAGATAAAATACCTTAGTTATTACGCATACATCCACATTACTTCCACTGCCCAAGTCATTAAAGATACCGGAGCATATAGCCTCAGTTACAAGCTTTATTCCTTCATCGCTCTGCACAAAGGAAGCACAGCAAAACAAAACAAAAATGTTAATAACAATAAGATTTAAAAGAGATTTATAATTTACAGCCTCTATCATATATGTTTTCCTCGGGTCATCAGTTACTTCATAAACCAAACAAGACCAACCAAGAACTATACAACTCACATAAAGCAACTACAGGGAGATTATTTTCATTAACGTATAAATATGGTTATGGAAGTTGATAAGGCACTCCGCGACTCATGCAGACAGTAAAATTTCAACTAGAGCAAAATAACTTACAGTCAGGCCTTCTTTGTATTTAGTCTCGAATATTGCCATGGCAGCAAGAGAACCAGAACCCATTGTTGCAAATGGCAATGTGTCAGTTGACCCGTGAGGATATATCTACACAACAACACAACTTAGTCATAAGACATCAAGTCATAATGTGAGAGCAAACTGCAAATATCACAATCATGCCAAAATGTCAGAAACAGAAAAAAAGAACGTACAGTATGTAAATGAGGTCCAGTGATATCAACCCCACCAAGCACCAAAGCAGCCTGGACATGACCTTGGTAACTAAACAACATATAATCAGTTAAAGCAATATGCCTACGTCAGTTTGCTTTTAACCAACTTATAGCAATCTCGAAAAGAAAAAGAACTCAACTTGAAAAGGTGCTTCTTAAGAAGGGTCAGCGCTGTAATAACTCTTGATTCTCGACCAGTATGATGGCGATGCAGCTGCAGCTGTGAGCTGACCATATCTAGAAGGACACAAACACCAGAACTGTTATGTGATAGGAACTGAGAGAATGGGCTTTTGTACTTCACATTCTCAAGCGTGAGAAAAAAGTTGAAAAAAAAATCTATATATTTCACGTTTCAATGCATTGTGTGTGTTCCTAGCAAAAAGATAATCCTAAATCACCTGTTACGGCCTCTGTATCAGCAGCAGTTCCAGCTCCACAACAATATATGTTTGGTGCCATGTAATGAATTTTCTCACAGTTCTTATCACAAACTATGGGCCCTTCTGTGGCCCTTGTATCTGCTCCAAGAATGACACCATCCTGAAAAGGGGAAAAAGTTGCAAATACAATATTGTAATTGCATAACGTCAAATCTTTATTCATAAAAATCAAGGTGTCATACATACAATTGCATAGATGCCAAAGCCGGAAAGCATATTTCACTACGACATTACTAATTAAGAAGATTCTTAGACAAGGACAGAACTACATAAAGTTCAAGCACAAATAGTCCCCTATTATTAAACCAGTAATCCCTTTGGTAACAAATCAGTTCCTATGTTCAAATGGATATGCACTGAGAGACGGCGTCTATACCATCACTTCCAAGTAAAGCCTCTTATACTTGATTTGAATTCAGTCATAACGTCAACAATACATATGGTGCAACTGCAAAAATGAGCTCAAGATCCCGCCCTTTCTTCCCATTTCACCCACATACTTTAAGGAATAAATACAAAAAGTATCCTAAAGTTCTTCGCAGCAGTAGCTGATGAGTTACAATGCTACATTATAGTTTCATGTAAATAACAAACGGTTAACTGATATCAAAATATGCTAACTAAATTCATTAATCTGAAAGTCTTAAAACTTTCAGCCCTATTTCACAGAGAAATTCGCAGTAAGAGAAGCAAACAAACTTGAATGAAACAACAATGAGAAGCACAGAGAAAACGGAGTACCTGGAAAACTAAACCCACAATAGTAGTACCCGTCTTCCTATAAGATGGGGCCTGAACGCCCTTCTCTGAAAGCATGGCATTTCTTCTGCAAAGATCGAAGCTAAACCCACACCTGGGAGGAACCTCTACCGCCGACTTAGACATATTTCAATTCCAAACAAACCTGAAAAACAAAGAATACTAAATCAACCTCAAATCCAGAACACAAACAACATAGGAAGAAACAGCCACCAAAATCCCCAAGACAGCACAATTACCAAAATCGCAAATAAATTGAAACTATACGGTTTCACATCTTCTCCATTTCAGTTTCGGCTTAAGGTAAAGCCATCAAGGCAATTCCCTAAGGCCCCTTTTAAGCCAAGTCCCCTTCATATTAGGAAAATTTTAACTAATTATCCATTACTCTCAGAATATTGAAATTAACCATAGACCTCAGTTGATTCCTTAATCTTACAGAACTACTTTTATTTTTAGGCTAAATCTCATACAAACACGAAACTGTGTTCTCACGCCCAGAACCCGAATCGGTGACTAATTTGGACTAGTGAAATTAAAAACAAAAAATCAAACAGATTTTCACGACTGAAAAATAGAGGAGTCCTATAGCTAACGCAAAACCAGGCTAACAAAACGATATTCCATCAGATATCAGAACTAACAAGAAAAATCATGAAGGAAAAACTCAGTAGGCTCGTATATAAGTGCTGAGAATTTCGAGATTTTAGGGCTTTTTTTTTTTTTTGGAAAATCAGAATTACAAAAGAGATTTCATGAAACTTAGAAATGAAATCAAGAAGGAAACACCAATTCACTGGGGAAATTTCGGATTAAGATGATTCAAGAGGGAAAACCCTACCTCAAAGTTCTAAGATCTCTAAGATCTCCTTGCTCCGAAACGTTTCGCTGCGGAAATTCGCCTTCTACTCAGTGGAAAGCTGAGAGAGAGAGAGAGAAGAGAGAGAGAGAGAGAGTTCGGACTTCGGACTTCGGCTTGGGGAAGAAGAAAGGGGGGAGAAGAAAAGAAAAAGGGCGAAAGGAAGGAGAGAGACTGAGCAAGCGATCAGGTGCAAGGCACGTGACGTGAGAAAGAAGTTCAGAATTCAGGGTGGGGCACTTTTCAAATTTTATAAATTGGAGGGTTAAAACGTAATTTTTAAAAGTTAAGATACAATATTCAGAAATCAGAAGTATTCATCAAGGCCCTGTTTGTTTCCATTTTTATTTCTATTTTTCACGTTTTTTGAGACTAAAAAATGAAAACAGAAATAGAAAATGCGTTTGGCCTACAAATTTTTTAAAAACAAAAACAAAACCGTTTTTGTCTTTTGTGAAAAATTGAAAACAAAAAAAAGGTGTTTTCATTTTCTCGTTTTCGTTTTCTGAAAACGAATTTCATTTTTTTTTTTCATTTTCTTCTCTCTCTTTTCTGAAACTGTTTTTGTCTTATATAATGATGTTTATTTAATATATTTAATATATTATTTATTAAATATATTAAATAATAACATATTAAATATATAATATTATTAAATATATTAAATAATAACATATTAAATATATAATATTATTAAATATATTAAATAATAACATATTAAATATATAATATTATTAAATATATTAAATAATAACATATTAAATATATAATATTATTAAATATATTAAATAATAACATATTAAATATATAATATTATTAAATATATTAAATAATAACATATTAAATATATAATATTATTAAATATATTAAATAATAACATATTAAATATATAATATTATTAAATATATTATTATTTTAAATATTATTACATGTTTTCAAAAATTAAACCACCAAACGCAGTTTCAGTTTTTTTTAAAACTAAAATCAATCTCTGAATAAAACTACCAAACGCATTTCAGAAATTATTTCAAAATGAAAATGAAAACGTTTTCATTTCTATTTTCATACAAAAAATAAAAACATTTTGGAACCAATTCCAAACGCACCCCAAATCTTTCATTTCCACACTTCTTTTTGTTAAACAAAATTTAAATGCACAAAAAAGTTCCATTAACTAACAAAAAGTACCCATTTATTTGGTTTGTTCAAATAACAACTCAAGTTTTAATTATAATGTTTTCGCTCATAAAAATTTAAATTTAATTTTTTTTATTATAAGTTTTTCTCTTACATTAATTTACTTTAATTTTAACTTAAATTCTCAACTCGAACCAACGAGATGATCATGATTACACATGAATTTCAATTTCTTCCATTATTGCTTTTCTACAATATTGTTCTCTTTAAATGCTTAGTTATAATATTGTGAAAACCATCTTGTTTTAAGATATATAGTTTGTGCAAAATTGGGTTTGATTTACATTAGAGTGTAAGTTTGGGAGGAAATTTCAGGCCGGGCCAGGCCCCGGCCCGGTCATAAGTTCAAAATGTTTAAGGTCAGCCCGGGCTGATCTAACTTGAAATTTTATAAGGTATTTTTAAAAAAAAATTTAAAAAAATTTAACTTTATAAGATAATTTGTCTCTCTCTCACTCCTCTAGTTTCTTTAATTAAAAATGTTACTATAAGTCTTATATGATAAATTTTATAAGGTATTTTGATAAATATGATTTAAAATTTATCTTTCATCTAGTTTCTTTAATTTGTTTCTCTCACTCTCTCTCTCCGCTTAACGTTTCAAGCATTTGTTTTAAATTGTATTTCTCCAGTTTATAAGGGAGAGAGAGTGAGAGAGAGACATATTAAAAGAAACTAGAAGAGTTAGAAAGAAAGAGAGAAGAGAGAGATGTGTGAGAAGAGGAACAGTCGAGATGTTTAAAGAAAAAAATATTAAATTTATATTTAACAAAGAAAAAAACTTTAGAGGTTGTTTGGTCGGTGGATTCGTCCCTTGATTCGAATCATGATTCGTGATTCACTACAGTATTTTTTCTCATAAAAAATACATATAAATTAAAAATAATTCTAATCACATAATTCTAATTCATGAATTAAACGTCTCCCTCTATAAAATGACGCCACCTTTGGCACTCATTATTTTCTCAAAAGTCAATATCGGTGCTTAAAGTATCGCGTCATGCTTTTTTTTTTGTTATGTCGACAAATTTTTACGTAGCTGCTACATTAGTTGTATCAAATCCTCTGTAAAGTGCATAGAGTGGACCCACCAGCGAAAAAAGAGGCCGTTACATGTGTCTCTAGCGAGAAAATTTTTTCATGTTATAAGTCTCCTTACTAACACATTCTATTTTGATATTAAGAGGATGTTTGGTTGGAAAATTTAAACCATGATTTGAATCATAGTTCATAGTTTGTTATAGTATTTTTTTTTATAAAAAATACACATAAATTAAAAATAATTTTAATTCATAAACCAAACGTCTCTTAAAGTGAAAGTTTTTGCCGTTACAAACTTTAAGAATTGCAATATCTTTTACCGTGTTTGACTATCTTTGACTGGGTTCAGGGAGAAAAAAGCTCGCCGCTAGTGTCATTTGTAGCAGTGAAAAATTTCGCTCCTATAACTTTGGTAGTTAATGCGCACGATTCTTGTCGGCCCCGTTCACTTCGCTGATTCGAGTTTAGAATTCGAGTTGAGATGTGACTTTATGTGAGAGCTTTTTACTGTAGCAAAAAAGTTAGATGTGATTGTTTGTGAGAGCTTTTTACTGTAGAAAAACTCGAATTTTAAACTCGAATTAGCGAAGTGAACGAGGCTGTATAGTGACCATTAGCCTCTTCTGTGAAAATTTTAATGTCATTTAAAATAGCAAAATCCACAGCACTAAAGTGAACTACATTAACAGCTCTTACTGCATTGATTGAGTAACTCTTAATAAGTGAAACGCGAAGGCCACTGTCCTTCGCAAACAACAAACCCTCCCAAATGGCTAAACATTCCGCGATGAACGGAGAGAAACGCCCGAGCAGCTTATTCGCAAACGCTCTGAGAACAAATCCCGACGAGTCCCTAATTATTCATTACTATTCTTGATTGATAATTATATAGCCTGTGTTTTTAATTTGGAGGCTTAAAAACAATTAATTATTAACTATATGCCACGTCTTATGATCAGGCTGGATGCCCAATATAGTAATTAGCAAAACCTCTCCGAAATTCCACGTATGGGTAAGCAATGGGGGTTTCATCTGCTTTTGTTTTCCATCTAATGAAATTAAAGATAATCAATTTGAGTACGACGTTATTACTATACCAGAAACATATGTATACCAGAGATTTAAGTGTATACAATAATATAAATAAGTATATATGGGCAAGGTAAAGGAATATAGATGAATAATATCATAATTATATCTCTCATATTCTCAGTGTTTCTATGAATATTCCCGTAAAATGCTACTCCATAAATATATGTAGACCGTGTTTAGAATTGATTTTATTTTATTTTATACGTTTTTTGAGAAAGAAAAAATAAAAACGTTTTCAAAACAACATTTGGCGCAATAAAGACAAAAAACAGAAATAAAATAATTTTTTGGTTTATTGTAAAATGAGAGATAAATAAAAAACGATTCATTTTTTGTTTTCGTTTTCTCCTCTCTTGAGCGGAGAGAAAAAGAGACATTAATGGATTTTTTTACATTGAAAATAATCTCTTAATAAAACAACTAAACGCATTTTAAAAATGATTTTTGTCTGAGAATGAAAACGTTTTCATTTTCATTTTCATATAAAAAATAAATTATTTTAGAACGAATTTCAAACGCGTCCGTAGTTTTTTAAGTGAAAACGACACGTGGTTTTAAGCCGATGTATATGCTCATCATATGGATGTGTGCGTGCATATATTATATATAAAAAAAGTAGGGAAAAAAAAAAAACTTCCATATGCACACAACACACATGCATGCATGCTAAGGATCGTCTCTAGCTTCTTTGCTTGGTGAGGCTAATTCGTATTTGGTAGATATACTATTTATATATTTAAGTGTACACATAGTCGACAAAAAGATAATAAAATAGTATACGAAAGAATATACACAAGTGCACAATATGTACTTCATTATATACTACAACATATGTAGTACCCATGTTAACATATGCAGTGCCTGTTACGTCCATATATGGTATAATATCACAATTGCTAATCAAGAGAGAGAAAAGACTTTGAATGGGAGTAATCATGAGCGTCACTTTGGAGCCCGTTTGGTTGGAGAATTCGTTCTCTGATTCGAATCATAGTTCATTGTTTGCTACAGTATTTTCTCTCTAAAAAAATACACGTAAATCGAAAATAATTCTAATCTTATGGTTCTAATCCATGAACCAAACGGGCTCGAGATCCTCGTCTCCTACGGGCTTAAGGTCCATTTGTCATGCTTTTATTTTTAATTAGTAGAATATGAGAAGTAAAAATATTTCAAAATAGTTTTTAGACTCAAATATCTTTTAATAAGCTCTCCCAAACAGACCTTTACTATCCGGAACGAAAACTTTGGCAAGTTACTCAAGTAGCCTTGGTAATTACCATGCACATGGTCATGCATGTACATATCTTTGTGTGTTGCCGCATTCAAATTTTGACTTAAGCACTAGTATTAGAGATCGTTAATCAAGTGCTTTTAGTTACTCAATTGTATCTAGTGCACATGCAGAAAGAGAAAGGTAACATTGAGTTTTACAAAGAAAAACTTAGGTGATGTTTGGTTCATAGATTTAAAATCATGATTTATAAATTTAATTTTTAAAATTTAAATTTTTTGTGAGAAAAAAACACTATAGCAGAATCAAGAACCATGATCCTAAACCAGGTAGAATCCTTGAAACAAACATCACCTTAATACACATATTTATGAAAATACACTAGCTAGTTTTCTCTATTTTATGTAAATAGAGAGAGGTAGTGATATAACAGATAAGCTTTTATCATATTTCAATTAGGTTGACATTTATTAAGCAACTCGACCAATCGTTCAATATCAAATCGTAAAATAAAATAAAATAAAAAAGTAGAGTTTAACACAAAACGAAAATAAATACAAAAAGTGAAGTATGAAACGGATCTACTCTGTTAATAAAATTAAAAAAAAAACCAAAAATACCTTATTAAAGTCCACCACCAGTAAAAATTAGTGGAAAAAAACTTAATATAAAATTTTTTCTATTGACTTTTAATTATTTGGGAGTCGATATGGAATTCAAACGCTACTGCTTTAGCTTAACAAAAGCCACATAGCTAAAAAGTAAACCCTCGTGTAGATGAAATTTGGGTAAAAATTGGGTATTAAGAAATTAGAATAAATTAACCATAATTAGTGAAACCCAATTATGTAAGGTTCCTTAGTGGGTTGCAAAGGGCTCACCAAAAATAAACCCTCATGGGGTGGAATCTGCGTAATCCATGCAAGCACGTCAACATCTTAAGGGTATACTTATGAAGTTATGGTTAATTATATTCTAATTTATTTGTGTAATTACATATAATTTACGTATATTTAAGGACAAGATGATGAAGGAAGAACCCAATTACTACTTTAGCGAGCTCAGCCCCTGGACAAAGCCTTGGTCCACCACCAAATGGTGTCACTTTCTTTCTCATTTCTTTGTCCTGTCCCAGTTAAGTAGCAGACAATATTATAAGAATATTGAATAATTTAACAAAAGAATCAAATACAAAATTGTTTTCCAATATATATGCATATATGTGTGTGTGTGTGTATGGGATTGCAGGTAAAGGAATATAGCGGAATAATATCACAATAATTATATCTCTCATATTCTCTGTATTTCTATGAATATTCCCGTAAAATGCTACACCATAAATATGTGTGTGTATATATATATATATATATATATATGTTAATACGAGGGAACAGTAAATACTAGTAATTTTATCTGTGAAAACGAGATGTAGTTTTTAAGTGGAAACGACATGTGGTTTTAAGCCGATGTATATGCTCATATATATGGATGTGTGCGTGCATATACTTATATGGTTTTAGTAATTTACCTCTTGAATTTTTAATTTTGACAAGTTACCCCTTCAATTTGTAAACTTGTTACAATATGTTATATTTTGACAATAATTATGTTAAATTAGTGTCGAAAGAATAAGTTCAACAAAAAGTTTCGACATCCCGATTCAAATGTGACATAAATAATTTCTCAATTTTTAATCCTTTAAATTTAACAAAAAATTTAAACAAATTTAGTAAAATGAAGCATATTGAAGCATTTTTATAAGTACGGGCAGTTTATTACCAAAATTAAAATTTTAAGAGATAAATTACTAAATCACGATAAGTTCAGGAGACAATTGTGTTAAAAATCCTTTTATATATGCATCAAAATCAATAGTATTTCTGCATTCGTACTTGATAAATATTGCAATTCTAAAAAAAGCAAGGGTAAAAAAAAAAAAAAAAAAAAAACTTCCATATGTACACAACACACACGTGCATGCATGCTAAGGATCGTCTCTAGCTTCTATGCTTGGTGAGGCTAATTCGTAATTGGTAGATATACTATTTATATATTTAAGTGTACACATGGTCGACAAAAAGATAATAAATATATTATACGAAAGAATATACACAAGTGCACAATATGTACTTTATTATATACTACAACATATGTAGTACCCATGTTAACATATGTAGTGCCTATTACGTCCATATATGGTATAATATCACAATTGCTAATCAAGAGAGAGAAAAGACTTTGAATGGGAGTAATCATGAGCATCGCTTGAGGTCCTCGTCTCCTACGGGCTTAGGGTCCGTTTGTCATGCTTTTGTTTTTGTTTTTAATTAGTAGAATATGAGAAGTAAAAATATTTCAGAACAGCTTTTAGACTTAAATATCTTTTAATAAGCTCTCCCAAACAAGACCTTTACTATCCGGAATGGAAACTTTGGCAAGTTACTCAAATAGCCTTGGTAATTACCATGCACAATATGGTCATGCATGTACATATCTTTGTGTGTTGCCCCATTCAAATTTTGACTTAAGCACTAGTATTAGAGATCGTTAATCAAGTGCTTTTAGTTACTCAATTGTATCTTCAGCTGGCTCAATCTCCAATATCAAACCTCTCCGGAATTCCACATATGGGTAAGCAAGAGGCAAATCGTCTGTTTTTATCTTCCACCTAGAGCACATGCAGAAGAGAAGGGTATTAGAGTTTGAGAAGGGAGAAAAATTGTACTTTATAAGGTTTTGAGCTTTCATATTAAAAAGTTAATCTGTTTAAGTGGGGTGTGCGGCAAGATGGTGCTCTGTTAGTAGTCACCGATCTTGTATTTTTGATAGATTAACCCAGTTCGTTTGAGCAATAGACTTTAATAATACCATATTAGAGTTTGAGGAGAGATGAAAGAAAAGTGAGATAGAATAATTACACTTTATAAAGTATTGAGCTTTCATCATAAAGTGAGGTGGTCCAATATCTTTTCATAATTGTGATTATGTTTGTATTTTGACGATATGAGACTCGGATATTTTACCTTTAATAAAGGGTAACAATATTGAGCATTACAAAGAAAATCTGAGTACATGTATTTATGAAAATACACTATTTTTCTCTATTTTTATGTAAAAAGAGAGAGGTAGTGATCTAACAAATAAACTTTTAACATATTTCAATCAGGTTGACATTTATTAAGCAACTCAATCGATTGTCCTATATCAAACCGTAAAATAAAGAAATGTAGAGTTTTACACAAAACAAAAACAAATACAAAAAGTAAAATATGAAACAGATCTTCTCTGTTAATATTAACACAAAACAAAAACAAATGCAAAAAGTGAAATATGAAACCGATCTACTCTGTTAATAAAATAATAATAATAATAATAATAACTACCTTATTAAAGTCCACCACCAGTAAAAATTAGTGGAAAAAAACCTGATACAAATTTTTTTCTATTGACTTTTACTTTTTTGGGAGTCGATATGGAATTCAAACGCTACTGCTTTAGCTTAACAAAAGCCACATGGCTAAAAGTAAACCCTGGTGTAGATGAAATTTGGGTAAAAATGGGGTATTAAGAAATTAGAATAAACCATAATTAGTGAAACCCAATTATGTAAGGTTCCTTAGTGGGTTGCAAAGGGCTCACCAAAGTAAACCCTCATGGGGTGGAATCTGTGTAATCCATGCAAGCACGTCAACATCTTAAGGGTATACTTATGAAGTTATGGTTAATTATATTATAATTTATTTGTGTAATTACATATAATTTACCTATATTTAAGGACAAGATGATGAAGGAAGAACCCAATTACTACTTTAGCGAGCTCAGCCCCTGGACAAAGCCTTGGTCCACCACCAAATGGTGTCACTTTCTTTCTCATTTCTTTGTCCTGTCCCAGTTAAGTAGCAGACAATATTATAAGAATATTGAATAATTTAACAAAAGAATCAAATACAAAATTAATTCATAGTATATAGACTGCCATATGGCATACTATATGTGTTAGACTACTATATAAGTATGCTATTTTCCAATATATATATATATATATATATATGTGGGAAAGCAACTAGCTAGCTCATGATAATTACTAAACTCATGCATGAAATGAAAATTTACGATAATAAGTAAAAAGTAAATAGGATCAATTGTTATTGCTTTATTCGAGATAAAATTACATGTTTATGATACATACGGAATAGTACATGTAATGATCTATTATTATATATTTGGAATTGGGAGAAAAAGTACATACGGTCCATCTCCAAGGATTAAATTCGAGGGGTTTCTCATGAAGAGATTGATCAAAATGTACACCGGTAAATATTGGAAGAACTTTCCATCCTGAGGGTATGAAAATCTCTGGAAAATTTTCAAAATCCCGAATACGTACATTAGATGATCATGTGCTATACTATATACATTATATATATAAATTAACAACCTTTAATTTACATTCACATATATATATATATCCACATACCTTTGAATTTCACGTCTTGAAGAGCTTTCCTGTGCACAAACTTGACTACATTCCCACACCTCATGGCTTCACACGTGACCTGATTATTGCAGTAATGATCATCCAATAGTTCATAGATCAACTCTAATTCTCAAAGCAACATTTTTTTTTTTTTTTTTTTAAGAAAAAGTAATCTACTTTTGCTAGTAATTTTCTCACATGGTACGTGAACTCCATTTTCTTGTAATCTTCCCAGTTCAAGGGCTCCTTTCCCTTTTTGCTTTCCCTTATTGATTGGTGTTCTTCCTATACACACACGCGCGCAAACATAGTGAGCCAAAGTAACAAATAAAATAGAAATATAGACATGATAACATATATATATATATACATATATATATATATATATATATATATATGAATGTAAATTAAAGGTTGTTAATTTACATGAGGTGGCATCCACCTTTAGTCTTTGAAAAACATGAGGTGCGTGGCCAATAAAGTAGACAATTAAGGCCATGAGTGTTGCGGTTGTCTCGTAGCCTCCTAGCAAGATGTCCAATACTATGCTCATTTTCTCTTCCTCATTTAGATTCTCCTTCGCCAATATCGCATCCAAAAACTCCTCTTCATCTTCCTCTAATTCTTCTTCATGACCATCATCCGTTAATCCCGCTTCTCCTTTCAGTGCTGCCCTCTCTTTCATAAGATCCTTCACTGTAGAAGCAAGTCTTTCTCTTGCCTGATCGAGAAGCCACAATCAACAAGACCATGAAATTAATCAAACTTTCACAAAAATATTATATGGTTGGATTTTTTTGAACCCGCGGCTTCGAGTCAGAACGACTAATTATCGCCTAATTATCGCCTAATTATCTTGTGGCCGGTACGCTTAAACGCGCGCATTCTTATACTATGTTTGTTCCCGCTCAACCCTCTAAGTACTCCACGAATTAACATTTAGAGGATAAAGTAGAGCTAGGATATTAGGCTTGTACCTTTACTGCCTTGAAGTATGAAGTCCCGGGAATATAGATCGGAAG